AGCAGGAAATGTCCCGGGTTTGGCCGTTCTCTTCATTGTTTCCCCTTTTCTGCTTCTACGGCCAGGCGATTCCGAACAGGAGGTCATGCTCAAAACCAAGAGTGCGAAAGCGACGGTGGGAGGGTTGAGCCCCACCAAAGAGTACACTCTGCAGATCTACATCCTGAATGGCTCTCAAGAGGCCCTCTTTGTCAAGAGGCGATTTGTGAGTAAGTGGCCTTTTTTCGCTTCTGGTGCCGCAGCTATCAGTGACACTGCCAAAGCTGAGAGTTAGATCATGCCTGAGGCTCAGTTATGGGATTGGTGCCAAGGAATTGATGTGTGTGTTGGTGGCAGGGTTGCCAAGAGGCCTGGAGACAAATGTCCCTGTCTCTCTCTCTGTCTCTCTCTCTCTCCTTTTTTTTAATAAACATTTTTTAGTATTTTCATTAACAGTAATGACATGTATGAACAGTAAAGAGAAGGGTATAAAATAACAAAGCAGTAATCATAACAATAACAACAGTTCCAAGTTTCTCAGGCAGTACAACAGATCATGTTCATGTAGTATTTAAGGTAAGTCTTGAGAATCTAGTCCTTTATGTCGCAGTCCCATAAATTCATAACTATCATGCAGTTTAAAAGAGCGACTGCTAACAGAGGCTGAATGTGTGGAAATTGTCTGCTGAAGCTTTTTGTGGCACAGAAATAAATAAAATCACCTGGTTGATAACATCCCATTACGCCTCTATTTTTTTATATAATTTTTTATTTTGAAGTTTTTGATGGAATGCCAGAATAAAGAAAAGGGGTAAGGGGGAAAGAATCAAAGGTAAAATTGCCAAAACATAGTATAAAAGGCATTTTTTTGCAAATATAAAGGACAATCCTTGAAACACTGCCAATCCTGGTTAAAAAAAAAATGGAAGTCACATAGGTAGCTCTAGGAATCGCTGGAAACTCTATGGTAAAACCATAGGATTTCTAGCAATTCCTAGAGGTACCCTATGCCACTTCTCTTTTTTTAACTGGAAATGACATTGGTGCCGCACACGACACTGTGGATTTCTTTTTTTCTCAATGGAAGCAACCAGAACAAGGGGTAGGGGATCTTCCACTTGCAGGAATGGGACTCCGAGCAGTAACGAGGATTTAAGGGGACATGTGTTGCCCTGATCGTCTTGGAGGAAGAGTGGGATTTAAAATAATGCATGGGTTGTTTGGTGAGATATGCAGATATTTACTCAGACAGTTGAACAGCTGATATTTCTGACTGAAATCCACAATCTTTTGGCCATTGCAGTTGAAGAGCTAAAAAACTTCTCCCAAGTTAGAAGTAACAGAAAGAACCCGACGAGTGCCCCTGAGAAGGCAGAGACGTTCCTGGGGACCACAGCTGCTGAGTACATCCTGGAGACCGAATTTCCCTCCTACCAGTGAAACTCTGATAAGTACGTGCAAGAGTCCTGTTGAACAGGCACTGTGGATTCGAACACATCATAGTTTACTTGTTGGGACGGAAGTTAAGGCTTGAGAGTCCAATCACACTGATCATGTGGTTTAGTCATCTTGTTTCTTCTGTACTCTTTGCTTTGGAACGTAGGAAAGGATGAGCTAGATAAGAAAAGACCCAAGGCAGCCATACCCAAAGGTGGGGTTGAAAACGAACCCACTGCAGAGCCGTCCGTGAAGCTGGCATCCCCAACAACCATGAGGATAACGCCTCTGCCAAGTCAAATGGATTTTGAAATGGACTATTTGGCCCCCGAGAAAACCACCAGGGAAAGCTTAAGGAGAGGTGAGGTTCATTTCGAAGCTTACGTCAACACAGTTGGTTCCACAAGGGAAATGTTTAGATGGCCCCGCTGGTGGACCTTCTGATGGCACCTGGTTTTTGGCCACTGTGTGACACAGAGTGTTGGACTGGATGGGCCATTAGCCTGATCCAACATGGCGTCTCTTCTGTTCTTATGTCCTGGAAATGTACAACTTCTGCAATTCCGACATCCGCCTGCACTGGATTCCTTATTCCCATCTCTGCTAGGCTGTGTCACTGGCAGCTGGCAGTTAAGGAAACTCCAGATGTGCTGATTACAGAGCCAGAATTAAATGGCAAAGCAGCAGAGAGTGATCTAAAGGCAAATAGCACAATACTAGTGCTCAGCAGGTCTTCAAGTATTTGAAGGGCTGTCATGTAGAAGATGGAGCGGATCTATTCTCTCTTGCTCCGGATTGCAAGACTAGATCTATTGGGTGGAAATGACAAGGGAGTCGTTACCGGCTAAATATCAGGAGAAACTTCCTAACTGTAAGAGTGGTTGAGCAGTGGAACAGACTGCCTCGGGAGGTGGTGGATGCTCCTTCGCTGGACATTTCCAAGCGGAGGCTGGACGACCATCTTTCAGGTATGCTGTAGGGCTATCTTTCGGCTATGCTCCTGCAGAGTGCAGGGGGTTGGACTAGATGACCTGCAAGGTCCCTTCCAACTCTAACATTCTATGACTTTATGATATGGCATGTTTTCCCTTTGGGTTGACCAACCGGTGAAGTGCATCTTTCCCATACTCTGCTAGTCTTTGCTATAACTGCCACAGCATCCCTGCCATCTGCCTCTCATCCACAACAATGCGATAATCTCAGACCCTACAAACAGAATCACGTTGATTGATTAGGTGTTTCTATATATTGGCCACCGAGGCAGGCTTGTAAGGAGAGCAAGAAACCCGGCTCCTTCAGTAAATACCCCTTCTGGCCATGTGCATTTGTGTTACTGGATGAAATGTTCCATCAGAAAAAAGGGAAGAGAAGCAATGGGAGTGTAGGGTAGGATTTCTGCACACAACGCTATGCTAGATATCTGGGGAAAAGATTGGATCTGATTCAGAGCAAGTGTCTGCATCGTTTCACCCCAAGGGGGCAATTGATGAATGCTGTCATTGAGCTAGGCTGTTATCATGAGAAAGAAACTGGATTAGAGTACTGATGGAATTGAGTTGACAGGGTGCATGAAAATCATGCTTGGGCCTATTTTCCTAAGAGGTGGATCGCCTTCACATTGGGAGGTTGCCACATCCCCTTCGCACACCTGTGGTCTGGGCACAATGCAGGCTCCCACTTGACTGAGTGAAAACTGGAACCACTCTTTGCAGCGATTCTCCTCCTCCTAACATAAGAACATAAGAGACGCCAATGTTGGATCAGGCCAATGGCCCATCCAGTCCAACACTCTGTGTCACACAGTGGCCAGAAATACCAGGTGCCATCAGGAGGTCCACCAGTGGGGCCAGGACACTAGAAGCCCTCCCATTTTTGAAAAAAAAACCCCAAGCACCAAGAATACACAGCATAAGAACATAAGAGACGCCAATGTTGGATCAGGCCAATGGCCCATCCAGTCCAACACTCTGTGTCACACAGTGGCCAGAAATACCAAGTGCCATCAGGAGGTCCACCAGTGGGGCCAGGACACTAGAAGCCCTCCAACTTTTGACCCCCCCCCAAGCACCAAGAATACACAGCATAAGAACATAAGAACATAAGAGAAGCCAATGTTGGATCACGCCAAAGGCCCATCCAGTCCAACACTCTGTGTCACACAGTGGCCAGAAATACCAGGTGCCATCAGGAGGTCCATCGGTGGGGCCAGGACATTAGAAGCCGGGCCCTCCCACTGTTAACCCCCCCAAGCACCAAGAAGACAGAGCATCACTTGCCCCAGAGCCCCTATCTATACCTTGTGGCTAATACCTTGCATTGAGAGCCTTGCCAGATGTGGCAAGCAAGTTCATGTGGCGCCCCCATCCGGCGCTCGTGGTTCCCATCGCTCTCCCCCTGTAGCTCATTGATGGATTGGACGCACCCTGTGGCCCCTTTTACGGGGGTCCCCAACCATTTTTGACCCTGCGGGCACCTTTAGAATTCTGGTACACCCTTGTGGACGTGGGGAATCCCACATTAGCAGTCCTTCCCCCCAACACCAATCAGTTGGTTGGTGGGGGGGGACTTACCGGGAGCAGGAGGGGGGTCCAGACTACATTGCCCATGATGTGGTGACATCACTTCTGGCTTATTCCGGAAGTGACGTCATCACATTTGTGACATCATGGCGACACTCTGGCATCTGGGCAAAAACTCTATGGTAGAAGCCATTTTTACCAAGGAGTTTTGGCCCAAGTACCAGAGCATCGCCATGATGTCACAACATGATGAAATCACTTCCGGTACACCAGTGACATAGCTTGGGCCTCCCTCCCGCTCCTGTTAAGTCCCTGCTAGTCCCCAATTCCCTGCTAGTCCCAATTCCCTGCTAGTTGCCAGAAATAATCTGACAACCCTACACAGCATGGTCAGTTTTGTCTCTGCAGGACACTCTGGGAGCAACAACTTTGCTAATAATAGGACAGAGCGTACGGTTTAAAGGCTAGAATATTGACTGTCAAGGGAAGACTCACGTTCATCTTGCTACCTGGGCCATAAATTGCAGTGTGATTTTGGCCTGGTCATTTTCATCACAGTGTTGTTGAGAGAGAGGGGAAAAACAGAATCATGGAATAACAGAACCATAGAGTTGGGAGGGGCCATCCAGGGCATCTAGTCCAACCCCCTGCTCAATGCAGGATCAGCCTAGAGCATCCCTGACCAGTGTTTGTCCAGCTGTTGCTTGAAGACTGCCAGTGACGGGGAGCTCACCATCTTCCTGGGAAGCTGATTCCTCAGCTCAACTACTCTTACAATGAAAATTAAAAAATTAAATATCCAGCCGGTACCTTCCCGGCCTTAATTTAAGCCCATGACTGTGAGTCCTCTCCTCTGCTGCCCACAGGAACAGCTCCCTGCCCTCCTCCAAGTGACAGCCCTTTAGATACTTCAAGAGAGCAATCACGCCCCCCCTCAACCTCCTCTTCTCCAGACTAAACATTCCCAAGTCTCGGGGTCATTTCCTGCAGGAGCACAGAGGAGCAGAGCTCCGGCAGTAAAGAGCCCAGGGGGCGGGCACATGCAACAAGCCCCACCCCCTGCTCCCAGCAGCCCTCAGTCAGAGCAAGAAGCAGCCAGGTAAGCTGCAGAGCCCCCCCCGGCCCCCCTGGTCCAAAACAGTCCAGTGGCACCTTTAAGACCAGGTTTTA